AAAATCTGTTGAGCATATGTCTCATGAGTTTACTTTTGGACTCTTTATTCTATTTCATTGATCTATAAGTCTGTGCTTAAGGCAGTACCACACTTTCTTGATTATCATAGCTTGGTATTTAATTTTGAAATTAGGAGTTCTACTTTGTTCTTTTTCTCATTGTTTTGGCCCTCATAGCAACTTCTCAATTTCAACAAAACAAAAACCTGAGAGTATATAGGCATTTATTGACTGGGTGGGAACATTGAAAATATTATGTCTTCTCATCTATGAACCAGAGATTTTTGGTTTTCACCCTCCTTTTCTTTTTCACTCCTTCTGTCCCTCCTTCCTTAAATATCTTTTGTAGTTTTTAGGTTATAAGAGTTTCTGTTCTTTGTTTAAATTATTCAGAAATACCTTTTCAATGATATTTTAATTGGAAATTAAATTCATTACTAGTGTACAGTAATGCAATTGATTTTTGTATATTCATTATGTAGTCTGCAGTCTTAACTGAACTCATTAACAAAGGAATTTTTGTGTTTATGGATTGTTTAGGATTTCCCATATGCATGCAATAGTTTTCCTCTTTTATCATTCTAGATTTTTTTCTTTGTCTTGTCTAATGCTTTGATTGGAGCCATCAGTACAATGTTGAAAAGAAATGAAAATGACCATCTCTTGTTTCTGCTCTTGGGAGGGAAAGCTTTTATGTTTTTTTTTTTGGGTCCAGTCATGGGCCTGAACTGTGGGCCTGGGCGCTGTCCCTCAGCTCTTCAGCTCAAGGCTAGCGCTCTACCACTTGAGCCACAGTGCCACTTCCAGCTTTTTTCTTTTTGCTTTTGGGTGCTGAGGAATGGAACCCAGGGCCTCATGCATACAAGGCGAGCGCTCTACCACTGAGCCACCTTCCCAGCCCCAGCTTTTATGTTTTTACTAGTAAGTTGACTGTGTTCATGCGTGTCCTTAATCACTAGGAGAGTTTTCATCTATTCCTAGTTCAGTATGTGTTTTACGATGAAAGGATGCTAGATTTTATTAAATGCTATTTCTTCATCTATGTGATTATCATGGTTTTTATCTTTTATCCCATGTATGTGGTAGATTAGATGAAATGAATTTTATGTGCACTGTTGGGATAGATCCTGCCTGCTCATTGTCTGTAGGATTTGATTTGGTGGTATTTTATTGAAAATTTCATCTTTTTACTTTTAACCTTTGTATAATTGGCATAAAACAGCATGAAGGTGGGCTTTAAAAAAGTGTAACTTGAACATAGCCTCAATTTGAGAATTTAAAGTCACTAAACATTGCTTGCATTATGATTGCTTATTATGATTAATGATATGTCAACATGTAGCTACATTTTGTTCAACAGTGGTCCTTTAAGACTATAATATAACCTGAGCGCCAGTGGCTCACACCTGTTCCTAGCTACTCACGAGGCTGGGATCTGAGGATTGCAGTTCAAAGCCAGCCTGGGCAAGAAAGTCAATGAGACTCTTTATCTCCAATTAACCACCAGAAAACCAGAAGTGGCGCTATGGCTCAAGTGGTAGAGCCTCGCCTTGAGCTGAAGAGCTGAGGGACAGCACCCAGACCCAGAGTTCAAGCCCCACATCTGACAAAAAAGCAACAACAACAAAAAGAATATAATAGAGATGGGTCAAAGTGGCTCAGGCCTGCAATCCTAGCTACTCAGGAGGCTCAGATCTGATAATTGAGGTTCGAGGTCAGTCTGGACAGGAAAATTTGTGGGAGTTTTTATTTCCAATTAACCACCAAAAAGCCAGAAGTGGAACTGTGGCTCAAGCGGTACAGTGCTAGCCTTGAGCCAGCAGAGCTCAGGGATAGTGCCCAGTCCTGGAGTTCCAAGCCCCAGGAACAGCAACCCCCTAATTTACTAAAGTGGAGCTAATATTTTCTTATTATCTCAAGATATTGTAGCCTTCATTATATCATGATGGAATGTATTATGCTTGTGATGATGCTTGTGTAAAGAAATCTGTGTTGCTAGTCTTTTAAAGGTACAGCATGTACAATTACGTGTTCCTACACATAATAGTGGATGTTAAATGGCTATGTTACTGGTTGATGTATTTACTGTACTATTTTTATATGACTATAGAATACATACAGAAAGTATAGAATATTTACAAAAAGTTTTTTTTTATTGTGAAAATACTGTACAGAGGGGTTACAATTACATGGGCAAGATAATGAGTACATTTCTTATATACAAAAAGTTTTGTAATATGCTGCATTGCACTGGCATCATTATCCTACATTACATCTCTTGATTGAATCATTTTTCTGGTGTGTTTGAATTTTTTTTCTTGTTTCCATATCTTTAACTTTTTTTTGTACGTTTTATATTGTAAAAATACTGTATGGAGGGGTTACAGTTACATGAGTAAGGTAATGAGTACATTTCCTATGGAGCATTGTTGCCTCCTCCTTTGTTTTTCCCCTACCATCCCTTCTCCCACCACCACAACTACTCCCCCCCACCCCCGAATTAATTTTGTACTACTTTGTTAATCATGACCTCTGGAGTGTTGGCTATACCATATGTATTTATGTGCAATATATTATATATATCAAAATCATGTGTATTTATATACAATATAGACTAGGTATATGGACAGTAGTCCATACCACTTACATTTGTGTAAGTATACTCAATGATGCTTAACAAAATAGACTAATAATGCATTTCTCAAGCTATATCCCTGTTATTAAGCAACATAGGACTATATTTGAATTTTTTTTTTTTGGGTCCAGTCGTGGGGTCTGAACTCGGCCTGGGCGCTGTACTTCAGCTCTTCAGCTCAAGGCTGGCTAGCACTCTACCACTTGAGCCACAGCGCCACTTCCAGCTTTTTTCTTTTTGCTTATGTGGTGCTGAGGAATCAAACCCAGGGCCTCAGGCATGCAAGGCAAGCGCTCTACCACTGAGCCACCTTCCCAGCCCTATATTTGAACTTTTTGCCCATTGGTTTAGATTTTTATTTGTGCTACTTCTAGGATCCTTTGTTTCTTTTTCTTGACTTTAACATTGTTTTCTCTTCTATTGACCGCTTAGTTTTTTTGTTTCTTTTGGTGTCTCAGGGGCTTGAACTCAGGTCCTGGAGGCTTGCTCAGGGCTGATACTCTACCACTTGATCCATATCTCCATTTTCAGCTTTCTGCTGGTTAATTAGTCTCGTAGACTTTTATGTCTCTGGCTTCAAGCCAGGATCCTCAGATTTCAGCTTCCTGAGTAGCTAGGATTAAAGGTGTGAGCCATCTGTATGCATCTGGGTTAGTATATTTATATGAACTATTTCTGTTTTCTGTTTAACCTTGTATATAGGAAACAAATGTTTAATGTACAGTATAAGACAGTAGGGCTCTTGTCTAGAATTTTGATTATATTTCATACTCCTGCTTTTAATCAGTGACTTTTTACATAAAAGTTAATTAAGGCTGGATATTACCTTCTTAAAAAGAACGACTGAACTTAGAAAAGATAGAACATACTTGATGGTTTTTCTGTAATTCTCTTAGGACTTTAATTTGCTCTCAGCAAAATAATTAAGGTGATTTCCTCTTTTAGACCTGTTCCCAACCAACCAAAGTCTTCGAGAATGAAATGTTTAGAAACTCACTACCTTTCAGGTTCTAGAAATTATAAATCAAAAGTGGTAGGTTGTAGCTGAGTGTTACGTACAGCTCAAACCTGTGAAAACCTAGCTACTTGGGAGGCAGAGACAGGGAGTTGGGGTTACAGGCGTGCCTGGAGAATAAAAGTTACCAAGATTCCATCTCAACCAACAACTGGGTGTGGTGCTGTGTGCCAGTTAGCTGCAGGGAAGCACTGTAGCTGAGTGCTATGACATATGACTGTCATCTGAAGTGAAAAGCAGAAGTAGGGGGATGGGAGCTCATGCTGGCCCAGAATAAAGTGAAACCCTTCACCTTGAAAATACCCATAATAGCCATGCACAGGTGGCACACACCTGTAATCTTAGTTACTTGAGAGACTGATCTGGAGGATCATAGTTTGAAGCCAGCTGGGGCAGAATAGACCATGAGATTCCTTCAAAATAATGAGAGTGCCAGCAGAGCAGGCAAAGCCTAGTAGGCACTACCCAATAGTGGTAAAACAAAGCAAGAAAAAGAAAATAACCAAGGCTAAAAGGGACTGGAGGCATAGATCAAGTGATAGAGACTTAATTCTTAATTCTCAGTACTGGAGGGGGAAAAAAGAGTAGTAGGTAACTGATTCAGACCAAAAGTTTTTGGTTTTCAGATTCTTCCTTCCCTGTTTTGGAGATTGAACTCTAAGCCTTGCACAAGCTTTTATTTAAAAAAAAAAATTCAAGGGCTGGGAAGGTGGCTCAGTGGTAGAGCACTTGCCTTGCATGCATGAGGCCCTGGGTTCGATTCCTCAGCACCACATAGCAAAAAGAAAAAAGCCAGAAGTGGCGCTGTGGCTCAAGTGGTAGAGCGCTAGCCTTGAGCTGAAGAGCTGAGGGACAGCGCCCAGGCCCAGAGTTCAGGCCCCACGACCGGACCCCCCCCCCCCAAAAAAAAAAAAATAAAATCAAACACCCAGAAAAGTAGAGGGGATAATAGTATAATGAACCTCCATATACTCATTGCTTGGTTTAATCATTAGCCAAATACCTTGTTTTTGCTATTTTATCTTAGAGACATGGTATTTTTTTTCTTTCCTCCATTCTTCCTCCCTTTCCTTCCCCTTCCCCTTCCCCTTCCCCTTCCCCTTCCCCTTCCCCTTCCCCTTCCCCTTCCCCTTCCCTTCCCCTCCCCCTTCCCCTCCCCCTCCCCCTCCCCCTCCCCCTCCCCCTCCCCCTCCCCCTCCCCCTCCCCCTCCCCCTCCCCCTCCCTCCCTCCCTCCCTCCCTCCCTCCCTCCCTCCCTCCCTCCCTTCCTCCCTTCCTCCCTTCCTTCCTTCCTTCCTTCCTTCCTTCCTTCCTTCCTTCCTTCCTTCCTTCCTTCCTTCCTGTCTTTCTCTCTCTTTCAGAACGTTTCATGAACGTTCATCTCATCCTTGTGCAGGGGCTATGCTAATCTCTGTATCATTACAATTTTAGTATATGTGCTGCCAAAGTGAACATGATATTTTCTCTTTATAAAAGTGTTGGTGTGTATGTGTGTGCGCGTGTGTAGTTACTATGATTTTATCCCATTTAATAAAATTAACACAAATCTCTAAACCCTAATATTCTGTCCTCGGTTTAAATTTTCACTTCAACTCCAAAATAGTTTTTCACAGTCGTCCATTCAAAGCAGAGTTAGTCTAGATTCACACCACATCCCTTTGTGGTATGGCTTATAATTTTAAAAAGTCATACCTGAATTTCATTATGACATTTACACACACACACACACACACACACACACACACACACACACACTGTACTTTGATCATATTTACTCAGATTAACTTCTGTTGTACTTCTTCCTGCTGTTCCCCTTCTTAACTCTAGAGGGTCCCCTTTTTGCTTTCATGTCTTTTTTTTTTTTTGCATATGATAGAAGCCATGCAGTATTTGTCTGAATTCTGCTTATTTCTCTTAACAGGACAATTTCCAGTTCTATTTCCCTATAGATGACATAATTTTGTTCTTTTGGGCTGAGTAAAACTCCATTGTGTAAATGTACTCCATTTCTTCATCAGTTAGTGGGTATATAGGCTGATTCTTTTTTTTTTTAATTTTTATTTTTTTGGTCGGTCATGGGGCTTGAACTCTGGGCCTGGGATTGTCCCTCAGCTCTTTAGCTCAAGGCAAGAGCTCTACCACTTGAGCCACAGCGCCACTTGTAGTTTTCTGGTGATTAATTGGAGATGAGTCTCATGGACTGTCCTTGCCCGGCTGGCTTTGAACCATGATCCTCAGATCTCAACCTCCTGAGTAGCTAGGATTAGCTTACAGCCTCCGGTGCCTGGCTGTAGGCTGATTCTATAACTTGGCTATTGTGAATAGTATTTCAGTAAACATGAATTTGTAGGTATTTCTCTTGTAGCAGACTTGAATTCCCAGTGGTGACTTAGCTAGATTGCTTGGTAGTTCTATTTTCTTTTATTTTTATTTTTTGGGAATCTGCACAATGATTTTCATACAGGCTGAACTAATAATTTGCATTCCCTCCCTCCCCTTCATTGTTGCCAGCATGTTTGTTTCTTAAGAGTAGCTATTCTGACTAGAGTGAGATAGAATGTCAGTATCCTTTTGATTTGTATTTCTCCAGTGGTTAAAGGTGTTCAACTTTTTTTCATATATTGTTTCATATACTTATTGACCATTGAGAATTCTCCAATTCATTTGCCCATTCTTTTTTAGTTTTTTTTTTTTAATATGTTCTGAGTATTACTTCCTTGTCAGATGAATTGCTGACAAAAAGTTTCCTTTGCTGTGCAGAATCACCTCTTTTCCTTTTTTTTTAAAAGAAGCCTTTCCCCCCCTCCATTTTCTTTTTGATTTTTTTTTTGTTTGTTTGTTTGGTTGGTTTTGTCTTATGCAGATCTTGGGGGCTTGAACTCTGTGTATGGGTGTCGTCCCTGAGTTTTTGTGCTCAAGGCTTGAGCTCTACCATTGAACCACAGCTCCTGTTCCAGCTTACCCTTTTATTAGTATTGAGTTTAGAATTTAGGGCCTCAGGCTTGCTAGATAAGTGCTCTACCATTTGAGATGCAATGCCATTTCTCAGTTCTTGCTATTATTCCCTGAGCTATTGGAATACTTTTCAGAAAGTAACTGCCTCTGCCTGTATCTTGAATTGTTCTCCAGTACAAGGGTTTTGAACCACCAGTTCTTGGGTCATATAAGGTTCTCAAAACGGATATAAGTCCCTCATTTTTTTTTGAATCTGGCTTTATAAAAGATTAAATATAGGAGCTTTTTTCATAGCAACATAACTTTGGTATTAAGTGAATCATAATGTAAATTTTGAGGTGCAAGCAAGGAACATTGATTAGTAATAGACATGAGTACATATAAGAACATAGTGAGACAGATACACATGCTATAGACTGCCTGCTGCCCATCTCTATTTATTACTCAGAGGCTAGTCAGTGCCAGACAGACTGATATTGTACATGCTGTAGCACACTGTTGTGAAACTATTGCAGTTCTGTGATGAGATGAAATGATTCCTCACAATGTTCATGACCTTGCCTCTGATGATTGACAGCAAGGTTGTTGATTTCTTTGTCCACACACAGTAACTTCAATCCAATCTTTATTCATACATTCACAATCAACAAATCCTTATACAAACTGAAACTCAGATGAAAACTAAGTTTATCATATACAGAAAAGATCAAGACCTCAAGGGTTGCTGATATGAATGGCAGATATGTTTCAAGTCTTAACAGACAGGATTAGAACAGCAAGTCATAGGTGACACACACACTGGTTGGTGTAACATCCTACTTCAAAGCAAAAAAAAAAAAAAATTGATGCATGTTGATGTTTCCAAAGAAATGGATGTAATTTTGTTGTTGTTGTTGATATTGTTGAATTCAAAGAGTCGTCTCTGCCTAGTTTGTGGTCCTTCATTAGGAGTAATGGAAAAAGTCAGTCTGGAGCATCATTACAGCTCAAAACATGCTAAACTCAATGAGTTGGGAGGCCAAATGTATCTGGATAAAATCAGTGTTTTTCAGGAGAGTTTGGATCACAAGTGCTTTTATAGGTATCATTGTGCAGACTCAGCATTATTCAAATAAGTTTTGTAGTGAGTGAATTGATCATGAAGCTGAGGCCTCATGAAGAGGGAGAATGGTGGCTGTTGGGGAGTTTTAAGGACAAAGTTTGTTTCAGCATGTGTATCTTGGAGAACCATCTCAGATTAGATTATTGATTTAGCAAAAGACACTGAAAAAAACTTAAAGGATGCTATAGATTTTCAGTTTTTTTTCTGGTTTGTGACTGGACTATGGACATAACAATGCCTCACTAGCTGTTGTTTTTGAGGTATTTGTTAAATTTCACATGCAAGTTGAACTGCTGTCACTGGAAGCTATCTATGCATGAAACTACAAGAGGTCAGAAACTTGTTTTGTCAGTGAAAAAACTTAAGCTATCCTTTGAAAAAATAAGTGAACTCCAGCCTTGGTTGGCTGGAAAAAAGGGTTAAATGCACTTTCAAGGAAAAAAAAAACTGAATTGTCTTAGTCTTGATCCAAGTGATTTAATTATATGCCACTGAATCATACACCAAAAAAAGCTCTGTGAAGAGTCTTTGTGTCTCAACAGTGTGATGTCCACTGTAATATCATGCATAAATTTTGTCAAAAGCAGAGGGTTTACCAGCCACATGTCTAAGGAGTTACTAAATGATGTTGATTGCATATGGTATTATTTACCACTGCAAACTGTGGTATCTGAGTCAGGGGAACATGCTCAGGAGATTTTTATGAACTCCAAGATGAAGGCAAGCGATTCATGGAGTTGAAAGGAAAACTCCTGTTGGAGAACTCAATGACAAAAATTTAATGTGTAATCTAGAGTTGAAAGAGGACATTATCGAATACCTCTGAGCTGAATAGCAAGCTTCAGGGTCCCAACCAGCTTCTCATTTTCAAGTGTGAAATGATTTGAAGCTAAATTGAGGATGTGGAAATAAATTAGAATGTAGATAGTGCAACTCAATAGGAATAAAACTATAATTTCCTACTCTGGAAGGACAAAAGCTTTCTTTGACACCCAAATATGTTGGTGAATATGCAAAACTGATCAAAGCATTTAATGAAAGATTCAAGGGTGTGAAAATAAATGTAGTTGAACATCTTTACTATGCTAGTTAATGTGGAGCCAGATAAAAGTATCTATAACATGAAATCATTCACCTGCAAAGTGATGATAGGCTGGTAGGTACACCAACCTTTCACTGCCTGAGTTCTACAGACTTTAAATAAACAATGAAGAATTTTCCAGTTTGAGGAGACATATATTGAAATATGCGGTGTTCAGAACATATTTGAAGCAAGTTACTGTTACCATCATCAGTTCTTTTCAAAACTTACATTATGAAAAGTCAGACTGTGCTCCAGACTTGGAAAAGCAGTTGTGAAGTAGCAACATCAACAAGCTAGTATTACACACTTCATCAAAGAGAAGCAATTCCAATTATCATATTAGGAATGATTAGAGTGAATTAAATGTTTGACTAAATATAGCAGCCTAATTTTTCAGCCGATACTTTTTTGTAGCCTCCAATAATGTTAATAAATATCCAGATGGCCCTTGACAGAGACAAGTTTCCCACTTGTGTTCTAATATTCTTAAAAGTTTCAGGTCCTTCAATAAGATCTTTGAACCATTTTGAATTGATGTTTATGTAATGTGAGAGGGATCCAGTTTCAGTATTCTACGTGGGGATATCCAATTTTTCCAGTTGAAGCTTTTTTCCCAACATATGTTTTTGGCACTGTTCTTAAGAATCAGGCAGCTGTAGATAATGCAGGTTTTATTTGTGGGTTCTCAAGACCATTCCATTGTTTATATGTCTGTTTCATCTTTGATTTTTGAATTTTGGGTTTTTTTTTTGTTTCTGTGAAGGAAGCTATTGGAATATTAAGGATTGAATTAATCTGTGGATTACTTTTGGTAATATGGCTATTTTTGTAATAAAAAAAATCAGACCCATTGGCTTGATAGGTCTTTCAATCTTGTGTCTTGTGTAGTTTGTTTTCAGTGTAGTATCTTTTACCTTCTTCAATTGTGTTTATTCCTGGGCCTTTTTTTTTTTTTTTTAAAGCTATTCCTTATTAGTATATAGATACTGTAATACTTACATTTTGATTTTTGTAGCCTGCTATTTTGCAGATCTATTAAGCTTCTTTCCTTGATTATTTAGGGTCTTGTAAGTATAGAACCAAATCTGCAAATAAGGATGTGAATTCTTCCTTATTTGTAGCCTCTTTCTTTCTTTCTTTTGCTTTATTGGCTAAGAATTCAATGTGTTGAATAACTGTAGAGAGAGTAGACACTGATTTTAGAGGAAATGCATTCAGTTTTCCCCCAATTCAGTATAGAGTTGGCTATAAGTTTGTCATAAGTAGCCTTTGTCATGTTGAAGTATGATCCTATTTCTAACGTCATAAAAAT